AAAATAATGGAAGTACAGACCACATCACCTGCATGATGATTGTTTTTTAATGTGAAATTGCAGACATCCTAGGGCCATATAGTAGTTGATATTTACTGGAGGGATTGATCTGTGGAGTTCAGGAAGGAGCACACTGGAAACAGTAAAGCTCTTTAAAATACTTTAATATGCTCTGAAATAGCATATTGATAGGGAAGCTGAAAAAAAAGACACTTCTCATTCAAATACAGCAGGTGACATAGGATATGTGTGTGTACATACACATATATTCATAAAAAGTTTGACTCTTTTTGAGTTTTGACTCCCAAGGAACATAAAAATATATCTGTAAAATATACATTTATGCACACATATTTTTTGGTTTTTATAACTATTCATATGTTTTTCCTCTTTGGAGTATGCCCAGGCACTCCTAAGACCATTTCTCTCTATGAAGAAATCAGACAGTGCTGTGGAATTACATGAGATATACCCTCGACTATTTATTTCTATTGTTGTCAACACAACATATGCAAACTCTTTTGGGCTGCCAACTCTCATCTCTTACATCAAGGAAACTGAATCACGTACCTTGACCTGAAAAAACTAGCACAGCTTGCATAAATATAGTTTGATAATGTCCTTGAGTTTCCTGAAGACGCAAAGAAGCAGTAACAGCATGTACATTTTTTCTTTTTATCTTTTTTTTTCCTTTTTTTTCCTTTTTTTTTTCTTTTTGAAATGCCATGCCATCAGTGACCATTTGTACTTGGCTGAAACTGCAGCACTGGATCCTATCGACAAAATAAATAAATAAACAGATGGTTTATTTATTAGTGCAGTTGAACTAATGAAGCCAGGTTTCCTATCAGGTTATATCTTGCAGTTCAATTTCCTCACGTCTAATAAAATGTGAGCTCTGCTCCTGTCCTTGCAAAACGCTTTTCTCCTGTGTGGGTTCTCAGTTGTGCACCAAGGGATAAGCAATCTTTCATATAGTGGTGGCACTAATTCAGGGCTTTCTCCTTTAAAAGATCAACTAACTGAAAGAAATTTGTCAGAAGTTTTCTGTAGAATTTGACTGAGATTGGCCAAAAATCCAAAAATATTGGAAAGGATGTGGAAGTACACTTAGATTTTTATGCCCAGCGACATAAAGGCAGCAGCAGTCTCATCTCCCCTGGGAACTGTGCTAAGCAGTATATCTTTATTTCAAGAAAACAGAAAAGTTCAGTGTGCTATTACCCATCATCTTGAAACTTCAATTGATTAATTTTTCATTAAGGGCACTGGACAACTGTTCAGGGCAAAAGCAGCAGAGAATATAGACAAGTCTGATAGTGAATGCTTCCCTTTGAGGTAAGATATGATTTTGTTTTTATAGCAAAAAACTCAGGAGAATTCAATAAAACTTGATAGAACAGTAGGTTTTCTGGCAGGCTGGTTGCAAGTCTGGTCAAAGGTGTTTAAGCTTTCACAATGTTTGGTGACTTATTAACAATGTTTGACTTTATGCCTACAACACAACTACTGAAGTAATAAGTATGAACTGTTACTAATACATTAAAGGTTTTTGTGTTAGTAACAGGCAGTAGATTAATCTCTAGTTGGGGACAGGGGGTGGAGGAGCATTTCAGAAAGAACAGCATACCATAAATGTACAGAAAAATTAGAGCTGAAGAATTTTATGTCAATTGTAAAATACGAATGCCTCCCATACAAAAAAGAAACCACCAGTAAATTAAGCTATACCTTGTCTGAAAACAGCATGAATCAATTACTTACGATGTCATGGTTCTCTGATCCATTGAACATAATCGCTCAATAATAAGCTAACTTTTCTAACATGACACAAAAATACTGTCCAAGTTCAAGATTTCCCAAAAGACCAGTAAACAACATGGCCTGGTTTTACAAAAATAGTGCTGTAAGAAGGCTGGTGTCCTAGGCAGGTGTGTCTGTGTTGCAGCACTGCTGTGGTAAGGTCACGCCTGTACATCTGCCTGGGGCCAGGGGTGGATGGAGGCAGGATGTTCACAGGGTCTTACCACCCCAGAGCTGCTGGCCTTCTTGAAACTACTTGGAGCAGCCTTTCAATACTTAAAAGAGTCTATAAAAAAGAGGGAGAACAACTTTTCACTAGTGACAGGACAAGGGGAAATGGTTTTAGATTAAAAGACGAGAGATTTAGATTAGATTAGTTAAGAAGAAATTCTTTACTGTGAGGGTGGTGAGGCACTGGAACGGGGTGCCCAGAGATGGTGTGGATGTCTCATCCCTGAAAGTGTTTGAAGCCAGGTTGGATGGGGCCCTGAGCAACCTGGTCTAATGAAGGGTGTCCCTGCCCAGGGCAGTGGGGTTAGAACTAGATGATCGTTAAGGTGCCTTCCAACCCAAACCATTCTATGATTCTATGAACTGGACATTTTTCTTCTGTCACAATTGTCTGAAATTAATTCCAGGTTCAGGAGCTAATGGGTTGGGAAAGTGTCATGGTGTTGCTTGACAGAAGAACAGCACACGGACAACCTGGGGGCATAAGCTTTGTCTTCTTAGGAAGTAAGGCTGAAAATACATTAAAAATATTTGGGGCAGGCCATTTTATAACAGCTGGTTGTCTGGGCTTGCATGTTTTTTAGGACTTCAAGTACAAAGTTTCTTTTGAACTAGGAAAGATCTGCGTGTAGAAGAACAGTACTTTTCTAAAAAGTTTATTTCAGTTTTTTAGAATTTATGTCATATTCAGGCTAATTGAATTGTGTCAAACCTGGGAAATGCATGTTTAGTTCCTCAGGTTGGAAAGTTGTTGTCTTCTGGAAGGTTACTACATACATGCAATAACTTCTGTGCTTCCAGACTGCTCTGCCTGGGTAAAATGGCCACGGGTAAAAAGCAAACAAGGACTTTGGGACCAGACAGGGGACTTGATTTTCACACTTGCTACATATCCAGGCAGCTGTAGATGGCAATTCTCCTGGGCCATTACTTTTGAAAACAGGTCCCCTTGTCTAAGGCCTGCAGCCTGTGAAAATACTCACTTAGGTATTTGCATCCATAGTATTTTGTTTCAGCTTTGTGCTGTGTTTGCCCTTTGATTAATTCTCTTTTAAAAATCCTTTCCTGTTTTAATTGGCTTATAGAAGGATTTTAGCAGATTATACTGAAAAAAAAAGAAAACAAAAATTAAAGGTTATTCAACACATTTAAATTACCATTCCTGAACATTTGGAGATTCATGTTGTCTTGTTACATTTTAAAACATTGATGGATTGTGTAACTGAAAACCATTATTTACAGTGAAATTTGTTAAAATAGTTTGAGTTTAGTGAAGTTTCCATAAAAATGAAGGTATTTTCATCCTTGGTTTAAAAATCTCAAATTACAAACATGAACAAATGATACTGTTGTTGTTGGTTTTGTTTTGTAACTAGGAAATCTGTAGAATACTTAAAGAGTATTCATTTTTCCATTCTAACAAATTTCTGCCTTTTTCTCAGATTGCAGTTTGGTCTTACGTAAGGCTAGTTTCATCCTCAGGTTATTAATGAAGAATTAGTAAGGAGCTGTAGTTACTTTAAACTAAATCTTTGTTTGAAGATAAATAGACATTAGACTGATTTACAATTGCTAATTTGAAAATTCTTGAGTTCTTGGTACCTCATTTAGGTAGTTTTTTTGTTTTTAACAGCACTTTGTTTACTTTTTAAAGCTCACTAGTATGTTTTTTAAGAACTACATCATGTTCCTTTGATTGATATGGCTGAGGATAATTCCAGCTGTTGAAGAGCAACTTCTTTCCTTGTACAGAAACAGTGGTTTCCACAATGGTTTCCTTAAGCCCTCACACATAAGAACGTGAGTTTTATGGTTGTCAGTCGTGGCGGGATGTTATGTATCAGCACCCTCCAGAAGCCTTCAGGGAGACAATTAGTCACAGCAGGTTGGCTGTGATGATCCTTCTTCCATTCAAGGACAGAAATAGGAGGCAGATCCAGAAAGAAATACTGTTAAACTCAAGTTCTGTCCCTCTACTCTGTTCTGTTGAGACCCCACCTGGAGTGCTGCATCCAGCTCTGGGGTCCCCAGCACATAAGGGACATTGACCTGTTGGAGGGAGTCCAGAGGAGGGCCATCAAGTTGATCAGAGGGATGGAACACCTCTCTTAGGAGGAAAGGCTGAGAGAATTGGGATTATTCAGCCTGGAAAAGAGAAGATTTTTGGGTAACCTAATTGTGGCCTTCCAGTACCTGAAGGGAACTTACAGGAAAGATGGGGCAAGGCTATTTACAAGAGGTAGTGAAAGGACAAGAACAAATGGGTTCAAATTGAAAGGGAGTAGAGTTAGATTAGGTATTAGGAAGAAATTCTTTACTGTGAGGGTGGTGAGGCACTGGAAAGTTGTGGATACCCCATCCCTGGAAGTGTTCAGGGCCAAGCTGGATAGGGTTCTGAGCAGGCTGGTCTAGTTGAAGGTGTCCCTGTCCACAGCAGGGGGGTTGGAACTGGATGTTCTTTATAGTCCTCTTTCATCCCCGACCATTCTATGAGTCCCTCCATGACTTTGGGCAATCTAGAATGGGCTTCGGTGAAATCAGCCTTGGGCCTTTAGATGGCTAAAAGTGCAATGAAGCTTCTGTGTCGGGACTGCCCGTCTTCCTGGCAACTGGGCGGGGCTTCGCTGTGATTTTGAAGCTTCAGGTCTCCACTAATGGAGTGAAAATACAGTTTCTCTGGAGCTTAGAAGTAGCAAAAGGTTAAACTGGCGAAATCGAGCAGCCAACACAGACTGAGGACAGACACACGAACAGGTACATTTGCCCTAGAACGGCGTATTCGAGCGATGTGTGTGGCAGGTGCAGCCGGGCGTCCCCCGGGATTCCCAGCGCTGCAGGAATCCCTCCTCCCCAAGGCAGGCCCGTCTCCCGGGCAGCCCGGGCAGCAGAGCGGCCGAGGCCCGTCCCCCTCGATCCGGGTATCGCCGCCCCGGGGCGGCTCCGCCACCGCCCCCTGTGCCGCGGCGGGATTGCTGCGGGGCCGCCCGGGCCGGACGTGCCGCCGCTCCCGGACTGCTCCGTTCCGTTCCGGCCGTACGTACGTACCAGGGGCGGGCCGGGCTGGGCTCGGGGCCGACGCTGCTGGGGCTGGGGCTGCCGGGGCCGGGGCTGGAGCGGGCTGCGGGGCGGCGACCGCGGGGCTCTGGCAGCCCCTCGGCGCGCTGGGGCTGGGGGGAAGTGGGGCGCTGAGACGCCCCTCCGGGCGGCGCTCCGGCCTGACAGCTGGGTTCCTGCCTCTGCAGTGGCTGAAAATCCGATTATATGAGTTTCTCGCATTGAAACAAACAAATCCCGGGGTGCCGGCATGGTTGGAAGTGAAGGCTGCGGTCCTGCGCGCGTGCCGGCGCCCCTCACACCCCAAACCCACCTCCGTCCTGGTTTTGCTGTCTGATATATACACAGAGCCTTGTAGAAGGTTCTTGCAGAACCTGCGAGAGTTGTGGTGTAACTTTGTGCCTGCGGCAGGCGCCAGCTGTTCCAGCCTTACACGCCAAAGCAAAGCAAGTCGTTTGGGTAGAGTAAGGGAAAACGTCTTAAACTCTGTTATTGTTGTCTCGTAATTTTAGGAGCGTGCAGAAATGTCTTCCTTCGAAAATAAAGGACTCATACTGGGTATAATGGCAGGGACTGCTGGATTAAGCCTGGCGCTGGTTTGGTACCGCAAGATCCGAAAACGTGGGGCAGCTGTGCGTGTACGTGCGTTCCAGGATATAGGTAACAGACTTAATTCTGTGGGCTTGCAAAATGAGGCTCCTAATGAGCAAGGAGCCGTGATGGTTTTACATGGGAGGCAACTGCAGATATTAGAAAAATTGAATGGCCTGCTACTAAGTGTGGACGAACTGAAGAGAGAGGTGGAATTTCTGAAAGAAGCTATTCCAAAGCTTGAAGAGCTTGTTCGAAATGAGCTTCAAGGGAAAGGTGATGTTCAGAGAGTTAGCCCGTCACACAGAGCAACAAGGCGGAGAAAAGCTGAGACAACTTCTGGTGCAAGAGAAACTACCAGCTCTGAGGAGGCGGAAAGTGAAGGAGGGTGAGTTAATAATAATTTGTATATACAACAGTACACATGCAGTGCAAATTGTATCAATACCTATGTGAAATTGTAAACAGGAGCCCTTTTAAAGTTTTATGTAGATTTTATACTTCTCTATATTTAATGGGAAAAAAACCCAGAAATTCAGATTAGCAGTTTTTGGATCAGAGAAGACTCTTGGTGACCATCTCTGAACCTGCACTGTGGCTGAAGTTGGCTTAATGCCAAGCATAATACAGATTTTTTTAGGAATGTGTTTGGTAATGATCTGATGCAGTATTGCTACATAGCTATGCAATGAGAGACAAAGTTCAGAATAATGGTGTAATTTTGAAAGTGCCTCTAGTAAGAAAGTACTCTTCTGTCTTTGCTATAGTTGGTTCAAACCGTATGAATGCTCTTGTGCTTTTCATGATAATTGCTTTCTATGGGCCTCACAAATGAGTTATTGCAGTGTTCTGCCTAGAGGTATTGCTTACTATGAAGGCAACATCCCAATGCAACACACGTACAAGTGACAATGTTTATGTGTATTTGTGACTGTATACCCTTTCCAGTGGCTCAAAAAGTAATCATGAGTGATTTAGGAGACTGACTCAGTAAGGTAGAAAGTTCCTAGTTTTAGCCCCTTCTTGTAGTCCCATTGTGGTTAATGGCATCTTTTATACTTGTGAGTTGAGGAATGTACTTGTGGGGAATAGGGCCTGGAAAAAACCAGACCTTTGCAGAGGACAGAGCAACTCATTACAGTAAACTTTTCTCAGCTTCACCCCCCGAGTCTGTGCCTCAATACAGCACAGTACTGAAGGATCAGATGTACCTGGAGTCCAGGGGAGGGACTATATTTTTGTCTTTTCAAACATTGCTTAATATACCCTCCAGTAGTAATGAAAAAATGGTGATGACATTACTCTCCTGTAATTACGACTTTGTTTTGGTATAATCAGATTAGATGCTTATGCGCAATTTAATAAGTGTATGTTTATAGCAACTGAGTTTTTTGAACCGTTTCCTCACTGTGTCTTACATGTCTGCGTAGGCAGCATTGTGTCTGCAAATTGCCTACTTATGTCACCTTTTTTCTTTAAAGATATATTAATCAACTGTAATATTCTGAAGCCAGTAACATGCTGCATATAATAATTAATGGAATTCTGGTTTTAAGAGTTTCTCCACATTCATTTTCTCTTCCTTTGAACAGAATTTCCTGTTGTGTTACATCCCAGCCTACATGCTTCACAAGTCTTATATTTGGTACCATATTTTAAGACCTGTCAGTTCTACTATGAACTTTCTTTATTTTAAGTATTCAGCATTGGCAGAAGTATTCAAAGATATTCCTCCTTCATCTGGTGTAGAAAAATTTTGGTTCTATTAGTTTCTCAGATTATTTTATCTGTTGATTAGTTTGCATAGNCTGAAAATACTCACTTAGGTATTTGCATCCATAGTATTTTGTTTCAGCTTTGTGCTGTGTTTGCCCTTTGATTAATTCTCTTTTAAAAATCCTTTCCTGTTTTAATTGGCTTATAGAAGGATTTTAGCAGATTATACTGAAAAAAAAAGAAAACAAAAATTAAAGGTTATTCAACACATTTAAATTACCATTCCTGAACATTTGGAGATTCATGTTGTCTTGTTACATTTTAAAACATTGATGGATTGTGTAACTGAAAACCATTATTTACAGTGAAATTTGTTAAAATAGTTTGAGTTTAGTGAAGTTTCCATAAAAATGAAGGTATTTTCATCCTTGGTTTAAAAATCTCAAATTACAAACATGAACAAATGATACTGTTGTTGTTGGTTTTGTTTTGTAACTAGGAAATCTGTAGAATACTTAAAGAGTATTCATTTTTCCATTCTAACAAATTTCTGCCTTTTTCTCAGATTGCAGTTTGGTCTTACGTAAGGCTAGTTTCATCCTCAGGTTATTAATGAAGAATTAGTAAGGAGCTGTAGTTACTTTAAACTAAATCTTTGTTTGAAGATAAATAGACATTAGACTGATTTACAATTGCTAATTTGAAAATTCTTGAGTTCTTGGTACCTCATTTAGGTAGTTTTTTTGTTTTTAACAGCACTTTGTTTACTTTTTAAAGCTCACTAGTATGTTTTTTAAGAACTACATCATGTTCCTTTGATTGATATGGCTGAGGATAATTCCAGCTGTTGAAGAGCAACTTCTTTCCTTGTACAGAAACAGTGGTTTCCACAATGGTTTCCTTAAGCCCTCACACATAAGAACGTGAGTTTTATGGTTGTCAGTCGTGGCGGGATGTTATGTATCAGCACCCTCCAGAAGCCTTCAGGGAGACAATTAGTCACAGCAGGTTGGCTGTGATGATCCTTCTTCCATTCAAGGACAGAAATAGGAGGCAGATCCAGAAAGAAATACTGTTAAACTCAAGTTCTGTCCCTCTACTCTGTTCTGTTGAGACCCCACCTGGAGTGCTGCATCCAGCTCTGGGGTCCCCAGCACATAAGGGACATTGACCTGTTGGAGGGAGTCCAGAGGAGGGCCATCAAGTTGATCAGAGGGATGGAACACCTCTCTTAGGAGGAAAGGCTGAGAGAATTGGGATTATTCAGCCTGGAAAAGAGAAGATTTTTGGGTAACCTAATTGTGGCCTTCCAGTACCTGAAGGGAACTTACAGGAAAGATGGGGCAAGGCTATTTACAAGAGGTAGTGAAAGGACAAGAACAAATGGGTTCAAATTGAAAGGGAGTAGAGTTAGATTAGGTATTAGGAAGAAATTCTTTACTGTGAGGGTGGTGAGGCACTGGAAAGTTGTGGATACCCCATCCCTGGAAGTGTTCAGGGCCAAGCTGGATAGGGTTCTGAGCAGGCTGGTCTAGTTGAAGGTGTCCCTGTCCACAGCAGGGGGGTTGGAACTGGATGTTCTTTATAGTCCTCTTTCATCCCCGACCATTCTATGAGTCCCTCCATGACTTTGGGCAATCTAGAATGGGCTTCGGTGAAATCAGCCTTGGGCCTTTAGATGGCTAAAAGTGCAATGAAGCTTCTGTGTCGGGACTGCCCGTCTTCCTGGCAACTGGGCGGGGCTTCGCTGTGATTTTGAAGCTTCAGGTCTCCACTAATGGAGTGAAAATACAGTTTCTCTGGAGCTTAGAAGTAGCAAAAGGTTAAACTGGCGAAATCGAGCAGCCAACACAGACTGAGGACAGACACACGAACAGGTACATTTGCCCTAGAACGGCGTATTCGAGCGATGTGTGTGGCAGGTGCAGCCGGGCGTCCCCCGGGATTCCCAGCGCTGCAGGAATCCCTCCTCCCCAAGGCAGGCCCGTCTCCCGGGCAGCCCGGGCAGCAGAGCGGCCGAGGCCCGTCCCCCTCGATCCGGGTATCGCCGCCCCGGGGCGGCTCCGCCACCGCCCCCTGTGCCGCGGCGGGATTGCTGCGGGGCCGCCCGGGCCGGACGTGCCGCCGCTCCCGGACTGCTCCGTTCCGTTCCGGCCGTACGTACGTACCAGGGGCGGGCCGGGCTGGGCTCGGGGCCGACGCTGCTGGGGCTGGGGCTGCCGGGGCCGGGGCTGGAGCGGGCTGCGGGGCGGCGACCGCGGGGCTCTGGCAGCCCCTCGGCGCGCTGGGGCTGGGGGGAAGTGGGGCGCTGAGACGCCCCTCCGGGCGGCGCTCCGGCCTGACAGCTGGGTTCCTGCCTCTGCAGTGGCTGAAAATCCGATTATATGAGTTTCTCGCATTGAAACAAACAAATCCCGGGGTGCCGGCATGGTTGGAAGTGAAGGCTGCGGTCCTGCGCGCGTGCCGGCGCCCCTCACACCCCAAACCCACCTCCGTCCTGGTTTTGCTGTCTGATATATACACAGAGCCTTGTAGAAGGTTCTTGCAGAACCTGCGAGAGTTGTGGTGTAACTTTGTGCCTGCGGCAGGCGCCAGCTGTTCCAGCCTTACACGCCAAAGCAAAGCAAGTCGTTTGGGTAGAGTAAGGGAAAACGTCTTAAACTCTGTTATTGTTGTCTCGTAATTTTAGGAGCGTGCAGAAATGTCTTCCTTCGAAAATAAAGGACTCATACTGGGTATAATGGCAGGGACTGCTGGATTAAGCCTGGCGCTGGTTTGGTACCGCAAGATCCGAAAACGTGGGGCAGCTGTGCGTGTACGTGCGTTCCAGGATATAGGTAACAGACTTAATTCTGTGGGCTTGCAAAATGAGGCTCCTAATGAGCAAGGAGCCGTGATGGTTTTACATGGGAGGCAACTGCAGATATTAGAAAAATTGAATGGCCTGCTACTAAGTGTGGACGAACTGAAGAGAGAGGTGGAATTTCTGAAAGAAGCTATTCCAAAGCTTGAAGAGCTTGTTCGAAATGAGCTTCAAGGGAAAGGTGATGTTCAGAGAGTTAGCCCGTCACACAGAGCAACAAGGCGGAGAAAAGCTGAGACAACTTCTGGTGCAAGAGAAACTACCAGCTCTGAGGAGGCGGAAAGTGAAGGAGGGTGAGTTAATAATAATTTGTATATACAACAGTACACATGCAGTGCAAATTGTATCAATACCTATGTGAAATTGTAAACAGGAGCCCTTTTAAAGTTTTATGTAGATTTTATACTTCTCTATATTTAATGGGAAAAAAACCCAGAAATTCAGATTAGCAGTTTTTGGATCAGAGAAGACTCTTGGTGACCATCTCTGAACCTGCACTGTGGCTGAAGTTGGCTTAATGCCAAGCATAATACAGATTTTTTTAGGAATGTGTTTGGTAATGATCTGATGCAGTATTGCTACATAGCTATGCAATGAGAGACAAAGTTCAGAATAATGGTGTAATTTTGAAAGTGCCTCTAGTAAGAAAGTACTCTTCTGTCTTTGCTATAGTTGGTTCAAACCGTATGAATGCTCTTGTGCTTTTCATGATAATTGCTTTCTATGGGCCTCACAAATGAGTTATTGCAGTGTTCTGCCTAGAGGTATTGCTTACTATGAAGGCAACATCCCAATGCAACACACGTACAAGTG